GCCCTCCATGCCCCCCCACCGGATTTCAGGTTTTCCTTCATCTATATTAATAAGGCCTATCGAATCAAGTTTGTGTACTCACATGTCCCTCATTACAAGTTCATCCACTGGAGCCTAGTCAGCCTATCTAGAGTCTCCTCCTTAAATGTCAACTCTACTTTACCCAGCAGTGATCAGCTGCCAGTAGTTCTGGTAGGGTTGGGTCCTGCTGCCCATTTCTCCAGTTCTATGCTGGGAGGTATTCAAGGGCTACAGCAATAGCCTGTGTTATTTTGGGAGTCTCTTGGACTTCCCTATCAACAACTGGAGGGGAGGTTTCTCCTGTCTGGCACCATGTTTCTTGTTATATAGCCTTCAGGTATGCACATGCACTCATGTTCAGATATTAGATGTTTTTCAGTACCCTTTGGAGCTATTAAATTTCCTTCTGCTTTTCATACCACTTAATCTTTATGTATCTCTACTTCTTCTCTCCATGTCTAAACTCCCTCCTCCCTTCCCAGTTAAAGTACCTCCATTTTCCCCTTGATCATACCTGGCTCCTGTGATTCCCCCCTCTCTTGAGCGCTACCTTTCCCTTTACCCCCATGGCTCCTTTTATATCCCTCTTCCCTTCTCAGTTGAATACCCCAACTTTCCCCATTTCTTCCTTGGTAATAGCATCTGTTTTCTGTATCCCCTCTCTCAGGCTCTTTCCTTCCCTTTACCTCCATGATCCCTCTCCATTTCCCTGGTTCCTGCAGTTACCTCAGGATATATACTCACACATATGAATTTGGTGCTAAGATCCACAAATGAGGAGTAACACATGTCCCTTGTGTTTCTGAGTCTGTGCTACTTCACTTAGTAAAAGAGTTTCCAGTTCCATCCATTTATATGCAAATTTCAGGATTTCGTCTTTGCTTATGACTGAGTAGAACTCCATTGTATAAATATATCACATTTTCATTATCCATTCCTCACTTGAGGTACATTTAGGTTGTTTCCATTTCTCAGCAATTGTGAAAAGAGCAGCAACAAACATGGATGTACAAGTATCTGTGCAGTAGGATGAGTCCTTTTGGTGTATGCCAAGGAGTGGCATAACCAGATCATATTGTAGATGCATTTTTAGATTTTTAAGAGTAATCCATACTGCTTACAAGATATAGGTATAGGAAAGTACTTTCTAAATATGACCTCAGATGCTTAGTAATTAAGGTCAACAATTGACAAGTGGGACTTCATTAAACTAAAGCGCTTCTGTACAGCAAAAGCAACGACTAAGGAAACAAAGAGGAGACCCACTGAGTGGGAGAAAAACTTCACCATCAGCACATCTGACAGGAGTTTAATGTCCAGAATATAAAAAGTACTAAAAAAAACAAAAAAAAAAACAAAAAAAAAAACAAAGAAACAAGAAAAAAAATGGCCCAATTAAAATATCTGCTAAGGACCTGAACATAGAGTTCTCAAGCAAAGAAATAAAAATGACTAAGAAACACCATAAAGTGTTCAAATCCTCAATCATTAGGGAAATGCAAATTAAAACCACTTTAACATTTCATCTTTCCCCAGTAAGACTTGTTAAAATCAAGAAACTAATGACACCAAATGTTGGGGAGGCTGTAGAGAAAGGGGAATTCTTTTGAAGGACCCGACTGACAGCAGGAAGGCCATTTTAGAAAAAGAACTGTAATCAGCCATTCGATAAGCCAAGATTCTAACCCAGGTCTTGTGAAACTAGCAGTGGAAGATAGGACGTTTGCAGTCGGACCACCTGCCACCACCCTGAGGCCCCTACCGGGAAGTTAGCAATAACAGCCTACTGGGAAGTTAACGATAACAATCAGTTTCACCCATAGCCCCCTCTGAATTTGGCAATACTGTTTCCTCATACCTTGTACCCATTGAAATGCACTAATAATAATCTTGTAACCATGCATCTGCTTCTGTACCTTGCTTCTGCTCTATAAAAAGCCCCCCCAAACTAAGCCCGGCACGCAAGTCCTGACTCGAGCGGGACTCTGCGTCCGCAGGCGCCTGTGTATGAATAAATTCCTCTTGCTTTTGCATCCCGAAACTTGGTTTTGTCCCTGTGTGTTGAGCGCGATTCTTCACTAGTAAAGTTGACTTTTTGATATGAGAACTCTGTCAACACTGATAAAGAAAATAAGTGAAATATAAATTTTGAGATAACAGAGAATTGTGAGGAGCAGGAAAAATTCCATGGAGCCAAATACAGCAGACTGGTCAAGTGAGCATGATGACAGATCAGTGTGTCCTAGACTCACTCATCTTTTGCTAACAGAGGGTAGATTCTGAGATTGTAAGTACAACCACCACCTATCACCCCCAAAGAGAAGGCAGATTCTGACAATTATAACCAAAATATAAAGACCAGTTTTGTAAAGAAATTGAGTCATAAAAGCATAACAGAGTGTTAGGCTCTCTATTCATGCCCACAATCTTTGTTAATGTCATACTGAACTATAAGAATAGGAAATAAACCCTGTTCTTGGATATGTTCCTATAGTACTAGTACAAGGCATTAGTGTCTTAATGTATAAATATAAACACAAACTCCCCCAAAATAAGCAAGCAGAATATGGGTTGTGGGTTGGGTGATGGTACCCAAGAACAGTTAAGGGGCTGATGATGAGACACAGACATGTTTGGTATTCAAACTGTTAGGTATTCAAGTATTCTTGAAATTCACTCTTTCCTGGGATTACATGGCAATACCCTTTCCCTGTCTTCTTTTTTAGTCTCTGTTTCCAACTATTAAATCTCAGAACTTTTTGTCCATTGCTCCATTGACTATTTCTTTGATATTTCATAGATCCTCAAAATCAGTATCTTACTTAAATGAATCCTAGAGCTTGCCTGGTCTTCTGTAAAGTATGCACCCTAATTATTTGCATTGATAAAGGCTTATGTCTTCTCCATGAATACATGGCTCAGCACTGGCACACTTTATCTCATTAAACAAATGCATAAAATTATTTAAAAACCTAGTTTTATACCCAAACTGTCCTGAATGTAATACAGAAAATGTCTCTAACTGGGAATGAATGGCTATTTGAAGATTATTAAGAAAGTGTGCAGATTCTCATCTTCTTCCTTTATTAAGCCCCAGACTTTGGTCTCCCTGTCTCTTTGCTATCCCTCTTCCTCATCATACTTTTCACCTCTCTTAAAAGTTGGATTATCTCCGACCAGCTATCAGTTCCCTCTTCTTTTCCAAAACTTCTAATGTTTTCCTTGTTTGCAGACCAAGCCTACAGTATGTGCAGTGCATAGAAAGAAACCTCAATATCTGTATGAAACACAGGCTTCAATTTGGTATTAAAACTATTGAGTATTCATGCTCAGAAACAAGATGGAGCTTCAGAGATAGAATCGATTTTCTCCACAACACCCACATGAATGTCTTTACTTACTTTTAGAAGCATGGGCTGGATAGATAATATTGTTTTCACTTAAACAGTAACCTCCCCTGTCAGATCTTCTAGATCTCTTAGTATTTTCTGCCAATTATAACGAAAGTAACTGATCCTGTACCAATTCAATAGTTCTAAGGAAACCTCACAGTTGTGAGTAGGGACAGATTTAAAAGCATGGGATGTACATTGACTGCTGTCTCTGGAAACATTGGCCATGTGTTACTGTACAGAAGGAATTCCTCATGTCCCTGAAAATAGTGATGAAACAGAATGATTGCCATGTCAAAAATCTGTCCCCTACGTATTCCTTTTTGCATTCTGAAGTGCGTATTCCCATTTCAGTCTTAATCCATTTTAAACCACCTGTTCCTAGTTAGTGGACAATCTATGTGTAATGTCGTCACAATAGACTGAGCTTGTGTGCTAGCTGACCTCAGCACACCTTCCCTTGTTTATTCTCACGGCTACTTACTTCTAGGTTAACATTTTTCCACTTGAAATCCTTCAAAATCTTCTGTAGGTCTTATTTTGCCCTTTTATGTTTCTTGTTCATACTGCTTTTCAGCTGATCTTTCTAAACTATAAATTGAATCAATCTCTTTTCTTCTTCAAAGCATGTAATGGTTCCACAAAGCACACAGATAACATCCACACTCTGTTTTGTTGCCCAGACATGCCCTATGACATGGCCAGCCATGATCTCCAAACTCACCTTTTATTTAGCATTCCTTTTCCCGATCCATTCCACAACTACCTTCTCTCAGCCCAATGTGTCATGTGATGTCGCAGTTTTTCTCTCCCCTCACTTTGGGCATTGATTGCAGTTATCTTTCTGCTGCTGAAGACGCTACTCAAATTTCCATTCAAACTCATATATTACATTCTCAACGAACCATGTGAGAACCTCACAGTTACCTGTTTTCTCCTCTGTACCACTAGGGCACAGTGTACGTGATATTAAATTTTGTAATATTTGTTCCCAGACTTTGATAAGGAAACGTGGGCACACTACAGAAACAGACCTCGTAAATAATCAGCACTCAGTAAGTG